AATGTAGGCACTTGTGACACCAAGAAGGAAGACGAACCTGTGGCAAAAATTAGTGGCTATGAGAATGTACCAGTTGACAATGAGAATGCGCTTATGCAGGCAGTAGCTAACCAACCAGTTGCTGTCATAGTTGATGCTTCTGGTATGGACTTCCAATTTTACTCGAGTGGTGTCTTCACTGGAGACTGTGGAACTGCTTTAGACCATGGTGTAACATTAGTTGGCTACGGTACCAGTAATGGCAAGTTGAAGTATTGGCTGATTAAGAACTCATGGGGTGTTGACTGGGGAGAGGATGGATACATGAGGATGCAACGAGATATTGCTGCTAAGGAAGGTTTGTGTGGAATTGCTATGGAAGCCAAGTATCCTACTATATGATTCAAATGCAGTTTGAGCTTCTGTATGTCGTATTTTAGTTGATTTACCTGGCTTGCTTTCATTAGGGTGTAATCTCAATTTGGAACTTCTTGCGGTTGAATCTTGACTGAGTTTACAAATATCAATCCCTGTAATGTACATTTGGTGTCATATGATAGTTTGATGAATGTTTGTGGAATTATTTCTTCCCAGTTTCCAATTTCATTATGCTAAATGAGCTGGAAATTCAGTTAACGAGTCTAGTGTGAAAACCTCTTCCAGCTTGTTAACTTGACGAACGAGTTTGAACCAGGCTGAATTAGTAAACAAGCTAAGTTTAAACAAGAGATGTTCGATTCAGCTTGACTCATTTACAGTTCTAATCTCTCGCATCTTTGAGTTGAATCATTTGGCTGGACATCATACCCCAAAAAGTTCCATGGCATGGACTAACAAAGCTTAGTTGCCTACGTAGACAGTGCACCGTTATCCTAGCCTAGAATTTCTCAATCATCTTCATTTTTAATGTTGCAATGAGTTCGTTTCCTACTATTTTGGACCTTAATGAACAATTGGTTAAGCATAAAAGTCAGAATGTCATATTCGACTTTTTGTTTGTGAAATGGTGAGTAGGGCTGTAAACTGCATCGATCCTTAACGAATAGTCCGGACTCAATTCATTTAGACTTGATTTAGATTCAATTTTGAACGAGTTTGAATTTGATTTCAAATCAGTGTTAGAACTGGATTAAAGTATCAAATCGAATTTGAACTTGTACGTATTCGACTCGTTAAAGCTCAATTAGGCTCGAATAATTTTTTTTATTTTTTATTTAATATATATATAAATGTTTTATACATAATAATACATTTATTATTTTATTGTATAGATATTATATATCTATTATTGATAAAATAATATTAAAATGTAAAAAAATACATAAAATTTCGAGCTCTTGAATTGAACTTGAACCTAATAAATATCAAATCAAATCGAACTCGAGCTTAAATTTAAACTCGTACAAGAGTTCGAATTCGAGTTCGATCCCAAGATTTCAAATCAAGTTTGATAACTTCAAGTTCAATTCGATTCAATTCGTTTGTAGTCAGTGTTATATTTATTTGCTTTGGTACTATATCTACCTCTAGAACTTTGAGGATTAAACAACAAGCTGAACACTTGTCAAAATATCAAAATTTTCTTCTGGCAGGCAAAGGCATAGAACCATATAGAGGAAAAGCACCAGATGACATTTAGAAGATACAAGCCTAAGGGAAACTGAAAAGGATACTTGTTTGATCCATAGAATAGGATAGAAATGGAAATTAGATCTAATCAAGCAAACAAATGACTGACGTAACAAAATCCATATAGCCATAGAAGATGATTGTCTTGTGAGCGAAATTTCATCAGAGTTTTGCAATTTATTCTTAGTAGAAAAAATATTTGCTAATAGGATCAAGTATCCTGAAGCAGCACGCATGTTTGTTGTTTTCTCTTAATGATTATCATTTCATGGTCTCCTCTCTCTACAAGTCTTCTCTCGAGTGATCCCGGATGTTTCCATGAGAGAGAGGCACGAGGAATGGATGTCTAGTTTTGGAAGGCAGTGAAAGGACCCTGCAGAAAGGAACATATTCACAGCAAATGTTAAGTACATGGACTTGATCAATAGTGCAGAGAATAAAGCATGCAATCTAGCCGTCAATATTGAATTTGCAGACCTGAGGAATGATGAATTCAGAGCTGCTCATAGTGGACGTCGAAGCCTCTCTAAGACAACAAAGTCAAGAACAGAAACCTCTCTGTTCTTCATTTTCTTTACTTTAATGAAATGGATACAAGTGGATCACATGCATCAGCTATTTAAAAACCATCAAGCTTATTGAATCAAAGTAAGACAAGCGTTTGCATTCATTTACGCATTTTAACTCATTTCATGACAGCCATTCACAAGCTTTGATTTAGGATGGATAAATGGTTATGAATAGACATTTCCTCCTCTACTATAAGGTACATCTTCTCTTTGTGGATCGAGTTAGGCTCGTATGATCAGATCATCATGTTCGAGGATGCCCTTCCACAACATGAATTATAGTGGCAAAAGATCACATAGGATACTTAAAAGCCACGAGGGTAAAGCCACTCGTTTTCACCATTTAAAGAAGCATAAGTGAGGAGCTCATCATTAGCTTCAAATAAGCACATTTGCGGCTTTTCTAGCGTAACCACTGCTTGTATTCCATCGACCCCTTTTCCATTTCTTAGGTCCATCAGAATAAAGGAGTTCCTTTGTCCTAGTTTAGTAGCATAGCGCACCAATGAAGGTCTTCCCCAACCAAAATCCACATCATAAAATGGGAGTCTACACATGCTGGAGCCATGGTAAACATCAAATTTCTTGACAATGCTTCCCGCTTTGCAAGTGCGGATTGGAATTCTTCAATTGGATAAAATTCGTACTTTTCTTTGTACTCATTTTGGATTTTCCTTCGACCATTCCTTAGTTTACTAACCAATTCTGGAAATCTCACATCATCCTCGTTCTCCACTACTACGGGATAGACGGTAATGAAATTTCCAACAGAATTCTGTGGCAACGGAGGGATAGTTATTTGTCGCAAGTTTGCAGCATTGCGAAACATGGAGGGCCCAAATGAGCCTGAGTTAGCCCTTGATGCAGACATTGCACGCTTCAAAATTAGAGCAGTCACAACTTCAACTTGAGTCGGGTTATCCACTCCTGAACTAGTTGCCATAGCCTTAAGTTGAGCAATTTTTGAAGCATGGAACAAGAATCTTCTGGTCAAGCATGTTTCCCTCTTTGGCACGGCGTATAGCTTCAACATTGTTGGATCGTCAACTGGAGGAAAGAGTGATTGAAGCTCCTATAAACTGAGGAGATGGAATATGATCACCACTTGACAAGAGCTGACGGGCCACAGCAGCCCAGTCATTAAAGAAAGTGGACATGGTGGATGCATCAGCAATCGTGTGCGTGATAAGCATGCTTAGTGCCAGACATCCACAATCGAAATAGTTCAGCTGAACACGCACTAGACTAGAATCCGCAGCATTACTAGTGATGGGAGATATATGACCAGATGCGGCTGGAAAGACGAGATCTTCCAAATGAAAGTTCGGTTGGTTGATAATGTCTGATATCCGGCTTCGATAAACTGAACTCCCATGTCATTGCAGTCGATAAAAAGGTTGTTCTTTAGCCTTCCAGCAAAGGGGTAATAATAGGTAAGAGTTTTTGACAGTGAAAGTTGAAGCACTGTAGATATTTGATTGGCAGACAACCGATCACTACCCTGAATATTAGGGTAGAACAAGGCCATGAAAGAAGGCAACACCTTCGATCTTCCCAACCATGGCTTTCCAAGTATCAGAGATTGACATGCTGCCATGAAAGAAGACCTGAGTGCCACTGAGCATGTCAAAGTTGGACGTGTGTGGTTTTATTACAAGTCATGAACAGGCAATCTTGTACTACTACTATCCTACTTTAGATCCTCGGCCCCCAATCCAGAGCCTCAACTCGTCCTCGTGCTGGAAATGTTATCATGCGTATTAGTTGCAGCAAGCAACAAGTCAGGGTGAAATTTTTGGTGGAATGTCATAGTTTAATCTTACCTCATCCAAAATATTAAATTATGTTAGCAGAAAGCCAATTATATGCCTTATTAAAAATGACAAAAAAATATTAAATTATATTATTCAAGTTTTATTTAATTTGATGGATTCTGATTGCGCTCAAACTTGAGCATAAGTCTGGATTCAATCTCATATAAGTAAATGGCATGACAAGCACTTTTTTGCCAAATCAAGCTCAAGGATCAGCCGTTGACAGACAATACAAATCATTCCTCAATATTATTAGTACGGTTTGGTCCTTTTTTCCTACTTAGTCTTGCTATGATATACCGATTGGCCAAATTCAGGAATGGTTGTACTTTTGAGACACAATATTGATCCAACAAGTCAAAACAGAATGCAGGCATTACCTATTTATCTGGATTGCACTTGCAGGGCGCAAAGTATATTTTTGCATTGTATATTCTGCCAAAAACAGATTTGGTTCTGAAACTCTGCAATTTCTTCCGGATATGCCATAACATACCATAAAACGCCTCTACTCTCTAGACAAGCAAACATAATGAGAGGAGAGATGAAAAAGCCCATTAATGCTCGTTAACGAACTATACAAAAACTACAACAGCGTAAAATGGAATATCTGCTACTTCTGTTACATGTACATAGAAGATCTGATGCATCGCTTCCTGCTGGACATCACTACTACATTCCCGAGCTTTGTGTTTCATTCAAGAGTTGAGGACACCTGATTGCAGATTGGGTTTTTTGAGTTTATTAGGCGGTTATGTAGAAAGTTTGGTTTGTAATTAAATACGCAGTGCTGCCCTGACCTTGATAATCAGCTTATTGGCGCGTCTGTTTCAGTATTGACATTTGATACATAAAATTTGTGGGTTTGATTCTTTTGCTCCTTAAGTTAGACGCCTTGATGCTTGGATTGGCAGCAGTTTACAGAGCTTTTCGCCAAGAACTAGATAAAATTTTCATAATCTTGAACCCAGTATGATAAAAACTGAAAAAGTTTCACATAAAAGTAAGTGCTCAAGCAGTTGGTGACGAAATTAGTCACACAAGAGCTTCCCATTAGCTAAAACTAAACTAAGCTACTGGACTGAAAAAGCAAACTGGGACTCGGGTTCTGCTACTGTAGGAGCTTGAAGAACATGATAAAGTTGATAGAATTGTTCACTGATGGCAACGCAATTTCCAGAAAAGATCAGCTTGCAACCAATCCACTATCATGCGGTAGGCCTCCTGTGTTAAATGAATTCCATCCCAGCTGACGTATCTTTCGGGATCACGGCAAGCCTTAACACCTGGAAATCCACACATTTGCGTCTCATTGAAGTTGTACAGCCCTCCAACTCCACAACAAGCTTTTTGTAGCTCAAAACCTGATAAGACAAAAACAAATTAGATGCCCAGATGTGGATGCTTCAGATACCGCGTCCTCCTACTGGAAATAATTGATTTCCTTTAAGAATTCAAAATGGTAAATCCTAACTAACATACCTTCAGTTTCACCTAGATTGAGAAGCTGTTCATATGCAGCGTAGTAGTCTCCATAGACGATTGTTACATATGGGTACTTCTCTTGCAGCTCGGCAATCGCCTTCTTCAGGTGATCATTGTGGAAAGTTGCAAAGCTGTTCAACAGCCATATGCAATGATTCTCGTCGAACTCGTCTGCTTCGCTTTCCAGCCCAAACTTTGTAATATAAATTGGCAGACATCCCATTGGAAAGTTCCCAGGAACCACTATTGTCCTTGCTCCAAAACTAATCACTTTCTGAAATACAGCATTGAAAGAAAAGGAAAAGCAATTAGAAGCAAGAGAATTAAAAGCAGCAAGAGTGCTAATAAGAAGAGGAGGGGCCTGCAAAAGCTAACCTCAACAGCATGCTTAATTTTGGCGACAACTAGAGGTACCAACTCTAGAATTCTAAGCGTATCTCTAGCCTCATCCAAGTACTGAAGGTATGCATAATTATAATCGTTGCCTCCGATTTCACCGACCATAAATAGAGCGTTTTGAAGCTTCCTTTCACAATCTGTTAAACAAAAAGAAAAGGGACAAAATTCAGTGTCATGCCAAAAAAAAAAAAAGTTAATAGCAGTTGAGAAAAGTTGAATGGCTGTCACGATCGAATGCATGACACATAAAATTTGAATCTACCGTTGTGACAAAATTTGTGAAAGTGATCTTTCATCCACTGAAGCTGTACGTCAAGAGAACTGTTGGTCACTGGATTTCTAACATGATGATGAGCGAGAACAGCTGATGATAGTGCCGTAGCACCGGCTACTGCAAAATTTGCTCCATGCTCAAAATTTGCCTTTGTATCCTTGATCGGATTCAGGAGAGGTAGACCCAGCGCCTGGGCTGTGTTAAAACAACGATCAAAATATTCAGTTAGCGGATGTGATTATGATAGCCTACATAAACAAAAATAACTAAATAAACATGGCATCTACCAGACGGTGATAGTTCGAATTTTTTCCATCATGCATGCAACTCATTGGCATCTACGTCCTCCACGCAAATTATTTATAACAAAAAAAAAAAAAGAAGAAGAAAGACAGAAAGAAATCCTTTGCCAGATTTTGTCGCGGAAAAGACAATCAGATATGGAGTTAGTTGATAAAAAGCAAAGCTCTATATCAAGTGTTCAAAAGAAGAATAAACCATACGAAGAAAAAATTAAAATAGCCTGAATTGTGACACACACACAAATAAAAAAATAGCTATTGCAAGTTGGTTGGCAATACTATGAAGAATTAACAGCGGGAGAGGGAGATCAAAAGAATCTTATATATATATATTTACCAAAGTAGTCAATCATGAGAAGTCCATCAGAGCAACGGCCGGTGGCTTTGTGGTGGGAGAAGGTCTGACCGTAGGGGTTTCTGGCGAAAGGTAAAGCGGCTCCAAGTGGAGATTCCCTGATCAAATTCCCAGTGTCTGATATGGAGTCCCCAAGTTGGTACACTTGATCAAAACGGCAGGCACTCAGGAGAGGACTAGCATCGGCGGATGGTGAAGGAGAAGGAAGCAGCAAAGCAGATGCAATAACAAAGAAAACAGCACCAATACTCGTGCCCTTGACACCCATTATTGCTCAGACAACAACCAAAAGTTTAACTATGTAATATTACTGCGTGGTACTATCAAGGTTGCTTGCTATGTGATTATATAGGATTGAGAAAGTGTTATAAACCTGTTGGAACTTGGATCAACAATTCGAATCCTAACTGGATTTGTTCTGCAGATGTCAAGCCAAAACAAAATACAACCAAAGTAGCACTATACAAAAATACAATAAGCCGTTTCCTAGACGGAATTGACTTGTTTTTAGATTAAGGTCTCTGATCCTGCTTTTGTTGATCAACTTACAGATCTAGCACCAATTATACTAGGATTCAAGTATAAGGTGCAATTCCACTAGGGACGGAAGTGCATAGAAGTTGTAATGAGACAAACACCTTTTCTTTGCAAACTACACTACATTTTATTCCGGACCACCTGTAATTCAAGTTTGACTAACTCAAAAAGGCATTGCCTGGAGCTCAATTCCAGTATTTTGGACAATGGTACCACCCAAAAATTAAAATTTTCAAACTTTTGGAATTATATCATCATGGAATTACTAACTTATTAACTATTGAATTCCAAATTATTTGCTCAAAAATCAAAATCAAAATAGCAGAAAAGAAATTCAAATTTCTTAATTCAATTTAAGAGCCAAATTTATCGTTTAAGCATAGTGCAGAAATATTTCTTACGAGTGCAATTCAAAAAAACATGAAGAACGGCTATTCAGACACCTTAACCATGTTGAGCCCAATTCAAAAATTTGAATTCAAATGACAGCCCAATCTCTAGTCTTGCGAATGCTTCTTTTTTAATTTTTTTTTTAAACAATAACTATCTAATCTACTCCTATTATACGGAAGAGAGGTAGTTTAAAAAGACTTGTATAAGAATTGGAGGGTGAATCACTTGACTAGACAAGTGCACTGCTGCACCATCTGAATTTTTTTAAGAACAAAAGCGATATGCTTCTTGTGCGATGTGATGTGCTATATCCTGACCTAGTGCACGGGAGAGTTTCAAACTGGCCATTGAACCAAGGTCCAATCGTTTCTAGCCTGACCAATGCAAGCCAAAAAACTCCCGACTCCTGTATCTTGAGCATTTGTTCTCATTTGGTCACAATGTCTAGGAGATGCATGCTGAGCTTGTCAAAATTGCAATCGAGTACTAAGACAGCTGCACCTTCGATTGACATGCTGCCATGAAAGAAGACCTGAGTGCCACTGAGCATGTCAAAGTTGCATGTGTATGGTTTTATTACAGGCCACGAACAGGCAATCTTGTAATCCCATTCTACTTTAGATCCTCGGCCCCCAATTGAGAGCCTCAACTTGTCCTCGTGCTGGAAATGTTATCGTGTATATTATAGTTGCAGCAAGTGACAAGTCAGGGTGAAATATTTGGTGGAATGTCATAGTTTAATCTTACCTCCTCCAAAATATTAAATTATGTTAGCAGAATGCAAATTACATGCCTCGTTAAAAATGACAAAAAAAAAAAATTATATTATATTATTCAAGCTTTATTTTATTTGATGGATGCTGATTGATCTCAAACTTGAGCATAAGTCTGGATTCAACCTCATATAAGTAAATGGAATGACAAGCACTTTTTAGCCAAATCAAGCTCAAGGATCAGCCGTTGACAGACAATACAAATAATTAGTACGATTTGGTCCTTTTTCCTACTTAGTTGTGCTATGGTATACCGATTGGCCAAATTCAGGAATGGTTGTACTTTTGAGACACAATATTGATCCAATAAGTCAAAACAGAATGCAGGCATTACCTATTTATCTGGATTGCACTTGCAGGGCACAAAGTATATTTTTGCACTGTATATTCTGCCAAAAACAGATTAGGAAAAAAGTTGATTCACGTATTTCGGTTTATGGCACGATGACGCTGATGAAACTGCAATTTCTTGCAGATATGCCATAACATGCGATAAAACGCCTCTACTCTCTAGAAAAGCAAACATAATGATAGGAGAGATGAAAAAGCCCACTAATGCTCGTTAACGAACTATACAAAAACTACAACAGCATAAAATGGAGTATCTGCTGCTTCTGTTACATGTACATAGAAGATGGGATGCATCGCCTCCTCCACCTTCCTGCTGGAGATAGATGGTATGACTAGCAACGTTCCTTTCCCAATCTTGGATGTAATCTGAACATCTTGCCTTCAATTAACGGCTGCAGCAAAGACAACATCATTGCTATCCAGACCCCATTAGATTCAATATAAATCATATGACTTTATCCAAGTTGTTGTTATAGCATGTTCCTTACCTTGAGGAGAAAAAACCCAAAGTATGAAGATCATAAACAGAAAAAAGTCTCCACCATTTGGCTCCCATTTGTCATTGCTAACAAAGAATGATCAAGTCTTGACTCATTTTACATGAATGGGAGCATGTAAGAGGTTAGAAAGTGCTTCGATCAAAGATTCTGGATCAAATATTACACCAACTTTTGGGTCAGGTATTGAATCAACAGTTACCTACAGAGTTCAATAAGAACACATACACCATCAGAAATCCGTACAAGAAAAGAGAATACAAAAACCTGCTAGCAGATGTCTGCTCAGCTTGTTGTGTTGCCGAGGCATAATTGCCAAGTGCAAGTGATGAGACAGATTCAACGCTCAAAAACTTCAAATTCAAGATTATCCTTATGATGTGTCTATAGACAGCAAAATTTATCTTACTTCAGCTAGAAAGAAAGCGTAATGCCATATACATACCACGTGGAATATCCCTTGGGCAGTCAAGACTTCAACATCAACAGGAATTTGACCATCCTTGGGAACCAAAATTGTGTTTATGTATTGGTTTGGCTGTGAGAAAAAATGAATCATTATGAGCAACAGGACTTCATCCCCGTTTGAAGGATCATGTCATGATTTTAAGCATTGATATATGAGCCAAATTTTTGCGGAAAAAAGGAATAAGAGAAATATTTATTAAGGAGCTTATGTCATCGTACAGTAAATTAACAAAAGCTGAGAAAAGTGCAAGCATGGTTTTTTTTTTCTCTTTTTTTCAAGAAAGCAATAAATAAAAGACAACGGCATGGCCCCAAATTTCTAACTTTTGTTGGTGAAATGGGCTTACTCTTCCAATCATCTCCAAAATTGTAGCCCCACTTGAATGACAGCCAAACTAGATAGAATCTACTATCAAGGAATTCTTTGGAATGAAACTAAATGAAAGTTCATTCCCAGCAAATGGAGGGGCCAAATATGTTGCATATCCTTTGAAGACACTACATAAGGATTGTCTCAATAAATCCTATCCTCCTACATAAGAATTGACTGAAAGACTGCAATATGAACTATAAAAACAAGTTTCATGAGAAAGATAAGAGAAAATAATATTTACACTATTCAAAAACTTGCAGCATAGCTATACTTCCAACGCAAAAAAAAAAAAAAAAAAAAAAAAACTGAGAGCAAGGCATTTTATTCCTTTCTATTATAAGGGCAACAGAGACCCTATGTCTCAATAAATTCCATCCTCCTAAGCATTGACCTGTCTACATCAGAATTCCTTACTATGAAGTATTAACAAAAGTGGCAGCAAATGTATATCTCAATCAGTCAAATTCAGGCGCATGACCCAAATAAAGTAGAGCAAAGCACAGTAAAAGAAATTCATATTTCAAAGAATCTCTATTTGCGAACATCACCGCAATGACTTCTAACTCTACTTACAGTATTCTTAAGACAATTTTCCGGGTCACCGTAAGTTCGATTTAGGGCATCGGTAATTGCTGTGACAAAGCAAGAAGCAGTAAAGCCACTAGTTTCCCGATCAGGAGTACCATTTAACAGAAGTACCTGGAGAGGCACAGAATCTAAAATAAGATTAAAATGATAAGAACATCTCAAGCTCTAATGCCATACCAAAAATTATATCCCAAAATGAAGGTACCATTCCCCTTTAAAATAAATGTAACCAACCATGAAGAAGATTTAGAAAATGCATCTTTCCCCATCATAGAGAGATGAGGAACACACAAATGACTTGAGTATCAACTATATGTTAAACTATATTTCTAAAAGGAAGACCTACCTTTGGACACCACCTCGATGAGATAATTTCCCCAATTCCACGTAAGACCTAGTAAATTTAGAAAACAAAATACATGAAAACCAAATCAAGCTGAGTCCAGATAGTATAGTTTTGTTTGATGAAAATTGAGCTATCAAATTTGACATCACTAAATATAAGAGGAAAGAAACTACTAGCATATATGATTTGTACAACAAGAATGTTCTGTTTCAGACTGAACAAAAAATAACCAAATATGATGAAATACAAGGCAACATAGGAACTAAAAGCAAACCACCATTGAGAGAGAGAAACATCTAGTGGATGGGCAAGTTCCAAGAGAGATATACATTTTACAGTTTATAAAGCAAGTGCATTTCCCACTGGAGTCACCTAGTTTTGTCACATGTTAGAATTTCAATATTAGCCTTTCAGAAAAGCATATAATGCTATAAACTTTCTCACAAGATATGACCAATAAATAAACCATTTCAGGGTAGTTTTGTAACTACTGGATCACATTTTCCTGCACAATTCCACAAAAAGAGGTATTTTCTATGTGAAATCATTTTTAAACTATGCACACATGTAAAGTGTTCCAAAGTCACTAGTAAATATGGAAGGTACTTGATAAAAATTTGACAACTGTCATAGTATTGATGGAAAATCAAACTAGAAAGGAGTACCCATGTTCTGGTGTTGATGCCTTAATCATACACTAGCAGATGTCACATTAATGAGAAAAAAAGGAAAAGTGCTGTAAACACAACATTATTCCCTGACTGCCTATATTGCAGGATAGTTTTAATGCATACTTGCTTGGCTGGTTAGCCAGCCCAATTCCTCCCAAAAAAAGGCCACTTTTGCACTAATGAACAAATACACTTGGCAGTAATGCCTTCATAGTGTAGTAACTAAACCTCCCAATACTGACACTGCAGTAATTAGTTACTGCATAAAAATTTGCATCTTTAATGATTCCAGTCTCCCAGGTTTGCCATCTATACATGCAAATGCACAAAAAGAAAGTTTTAAGAATAAGGATCATGTGAAGTTACCAAGGAGGGGCAAATAGAAGTAAAGAGGGATCCCATGGCAAATACAATGCAGTCAACACTCTGTAACTTTTCAAAGACAGTTGGATTTACACTTGGGAAGACCTGTTACACGTCCGAACAGCATAAAATCAGCAGAGAAATACAATCTAAAGCAAATGACATAATATCTAAACAATATACTCCAGAAAATTTGAAGAACCGACTCTCTACAAACATTGTAGCACAAAAAAGATAACCACATTGCAATATTAGCTTGACTTTATTTAAATCAACTCCAAAAACAAAAGATGCAAGAGGCCATATGCAATGCTTTCTGCCACTTCTCCTTGACCTTAATTACAGTTAAATATTAGTGAAAAGGAAAAGTCAAGATACTTTTACCAATTATAGAAACTAACAACCACCATATGATTTTTTTCCCTTTGACTACCTTATGAACTTTTTTCAGAAGAAATTGTGTTCTTTAGAGTTGGAGGGGGGGCAAAGACAGAGAGGTGGAAGGAGATGAAGAGCCATCTGTGCACTTAAATTTACTGTTCTATTTGTTTCTTAAAGTGAAGGATCATACATCATGAAGAGCGTGTAATGGATATGAATGGAAATTTCTTAAGTTCCTCATTTCTGGCGAATAGTGGGGTAGGCCAGGAGGGATCTACACAATCTAGTATTCTACCTGGAGCTCCTAACTACTATGCAATTTTTAGATCTCAGCACCACAAGAACCAAAAGTTTGGTTTGCAGTAATCAAATATTCCTATCAATACTCCCCCTTCTTCCCTGAACAATTGACCTGATTTAAACATGCAGGTGATCCCCTTTCCCTGCCCTGTTTTGACTCTCTATCTGTTTGACTTAGACATTTTGACAACAGTATGCTAAAGACATCTTTATGTCACCACTATAAAGATGCAAACCCAAAACATCCAAAGATCATGTACGAACAGGGTCACAAAATATAACAAGTTCCAGCACAATTTCTTTTAGTTAAAATTGGATAAGATTATAGCTTCAGTGCTCTTTAACCACTTCAGGCAAGTTAAAGCATCACTTACCTCATGCAACAAATTGCAGCCAGATTATAGCTTCAGTGCTCTTTAACCACTTCAGGCAAGTTAAAGCATCACTTACCTCATGCAACAAATTGCAGCCTTCGCTTGACATATAGAACACTCGTTTTATTCTTGCCGGAAGAGCCGAAGCAGAAGAGCTTCCCTATCAGTATAAAATCGATAAGTAAAATCAAAATTACTTTTGGCTACCAGATGGGGCACAAAAATACAAAAAAGTGCATATTCTAAATCCCTGTCACATCATAACTGATGAAATAAATTCCAGAATCATAAATCAGACTTGAAAAAGGTCAAATTATATTGTTGAACCCATAGGTTGACCCTAAACCAACAATAAGGAATAAAAAATTCCCCATACTTTTGAAATTTAATTATTTTTTATGGATCTTGAGACTCTTAATTGCAGTTGAAAATGACTAGCTTAGATAACTAAACCGAGTTTTCCTCAAATACTCCCACACTTTTTCTTCGTGATAAGCAATATTAAAAAGTGCTTAACCATGTAGATGTGTTAAAAACATGAACCCCAAACATGATTATTATGTCAAGCAACAAAATTCCCATAAGATTGTGAACTAGTACAAACAGGAAAGAACAAATGCAACAACAATATCACATGTACATTACAGTGAAAAAAATAAAATAAAATTAACACAAGTAGCGTACAAAGGAAGATGCAAGTTATACAGTTCCTGCATCAGCAGATATTACGTGTACCTTATCTATGGTCTGCACAGAACACTTGCTTGGATGAGATATCTCATTTTGCCCACGAATAATAGTTCCATCCTGAATATTAGAAACACAAACAAGAAATGCAAGTCATCTAGACATTTTTGGTCATCATCTTTGTTTGGGTTGTACACTTTCTTAATTACATACTCCCTCCCTTTTTTTATAACTGACGTTTAAGAAATTTGCTCTAGTGTACTTTTATCTGTCGTTTTATTATCCCCATATAGTATTAATTATTTTTTCACAATTTTACCCTTTTATCTCTCTTTTCCAATGCAGGGTTCTTAATTACTACTCCTAGTAATTATTGCTTCTCTCTTTGTAACAACCCTAGTAATTAATGAGGGTGAATTGGACAATTAATGAGGGTACAAAAGGAAAGTAGTGTATAGATTTAAGCAATGAAAAACTTTTCTTAATTGGTGTGCAAAACCTTAAACGTCAGTTATAAAAAAAGGGAGGGAGTAATTCACAGCCCTAAAGAACATTGACTGAACTTGTCAGTTAAAAAGCTACTAATCATACCCATAATTCACAACCCAATGTAAGCCTGTCATTGGTAGATATCACTGGGAGGACCAGACTATCTGTGGGAATATCTGAAACACGTGAAAACAAAAAAATAGCAGCATCTAGCGACCGAAAGAATATGCGTGCTCCTGCAAAGAAGAAGTTCCCAATGCTGCAAAGTTCATGTAAGTTAGTTGACAAAATATGATCGAAGGTATACCAAAGGAAGCAAAAAATATTTTTTGAGTAACCAACAAACAAGCAATTATAACAAAAATAAAAACACATCTAACAACTGATCATTGTTCAGAAACTATTACGAAACAGAACAAGAGAAAGTCCCTTTAACAGTGGAAGCTCAGACAGGAGCTGACACTAGAAAATCAAGAGAGCCAAAACAAATGCTGGTCTAACAGTGCCAGAGATAATGTAATGGGGAAAACAAAATTAGCACCAATTACCAGATCTGAAATTCTGACACCAATTAGCTCTCTACATGATTGACTATACAACTTACAGCACATCTTGCAACTTCAAAATAGATTAACAATAAATTAGAAAATGAGAGAAGAAATAACCATAACCTTTCCACTTTTAGTTTGAAAGATTACAACAAGAAAGGCCTTGACCCATTTTGAGTTAGCCATGAGAAAACATACTATTAGCCAAAGTTGCACAAATACAAATTGAAGAAATAAAACATATGCAAACTATTATAAATTTCTGTGAATGAACATAATTATTTCTCACACAAAGCTGCATAAGTCCTCCATACTTGTTTTTGCTATTTCATATATATACATAACTCAAATATCATTTTCCCAAAAGAAAAGTAAGTTTAGGAAATATATGTTTATAGAAAGTGCTGTATTTAGTCTTCACCATGAAACATCAATTAGACAAAACATTCTTGCTGAAACATTATCAGATAACATATGGATAATAATCCAGACAAGAAAAGTATAGGACAATATGATGGAACTCAACCATACGATGCTATTTCCAATATACCAGTCCATATGACCCTCTACTATACCCTGAAGATGAAGCAGTAGATGTACTGAAACTTAGCGAAATGAAAACGGTAACAAATGTATCCAAGCAATAAGCTCAGGAAAAGTTAAGAAAATGCAGGAAATATACAACTGAAATATATAACAAATTCATAATTATAGCAAATGGACCATAAGATACCTTCCATTACTAAATGAAAATAGTTCATCTGCATGACGAAGGATCTGCAAACAAAATAAAATAATTATGATCGATTATATGCTAAATTGATGTACAAATAAACAGATGAAACTTTCTGGAAAAACTAAAAGCACAGACAAAAAAGGAGGAAAGAAAGGAAATAATTTTGTAGAGATTATAAAAGGAATATCAAAACTAATTCCATCTGAGCATGAAAAATAAAATGGTCAAAACAATGTAATGTTGTACAAAATTACAAAAGTTTCAGAGATGTGGTTCTGAACCTTTAGACAAAATCTAAAACTCAAGAGTACATCAGCATTCAGGGATGTGTCAACTTTTCAATCATGTAAAGGGGAGGTGAATATGTATCAATTGTCAATATGCAAAATACTATCACCAACAGTGAATGCATGAATTTCCTAATAATACAAATTGATCAGAACATCCAAAACATGCATCTTTTTTAATTTTAGTTCAATCTCATTCCAAAGTACACCATGTTAATCAATTGGATTTTTAATGTCGAAATATCTCTTGTGATTTGAAAGTGCTGCCAGTGCCAACTAGTGGCCCCATCATAAAATGCCTTTGTTTTAGATGCTTTATTATCTTTCTCTACTATATAGTTGAAAATGCTCCCTTTTTGTTTTCCGTGATGGTCTCAAACAAGATGGAACTCCCTTTCCTTTGAGGAACTCTTGCACATATGACATTACTCCAAAGCAAAAATCATTTGTGCAACTATAAGATAAGACTATATCATTCAGAAAACTAAAGTGGAATTTACAAAAGAGATGGAAGGCAAGTTGAAAATTTCCAAACATTCTAAAGATCACCTCTTTTGATACAGGATTTGAACAAAGGATCAATATTTTCTGGGAAAAAAAGAGCTAAACTAATCTAGAATGAGAAAATGCACTATTACTGAATGTACCCATGCAATATACTGTACAAAAAATGGACCGGAAATGTCACAGCAACATACTGCTGCATGCATATATGCATCATATGTGACAAAGGAACAATAAAAGTGAAACCTTAAACACATATAGCCTCAATCCCATGTATTTTGTCACCTCAAGTTTGTGCACGATTTTCTAGGACTCCAATATATACTGGTTTCAATAATTAATTAACTTACAATTAAAATAAAAGAAAACATAGTTTTGTGTTTAGTCAGGGTAGAATTGGAATGTACATGACAAATTGTTCCCTTGTTTGGAATGGTGACATCTTTTATGGGAATGGGTGACAAAAATGAACGCAACAGAGGAAACACAACTCTTGTTTGACATGGAAGTACTGAAATGGAAGTTGACATTCATTCCAGCAATGCAAATGGACCTGATCTTGAAAATACACCAAGAAAGCTCGAATAGTCTCCCTGTATGGTTTTGAAACACCTTTCCAAAGAGGGTGCTGCCCTTCCACAATATCATACCTGTGAATTCTCAGCATAAGAACACAAATATATACAAAGAGTAAAAGAAAACCAAGATACATATTATCAATAGGCAAAGAAACAATTCAAAAGAGAGACAGGCACAGAAATCCAACCACCAAATAATTTGGTTACTGCTGAACAAGTCATGTAATGGACAACTATGAAACAAATGAAATCATTTTTGTTTCTAAGAAGTGAAAATTACCAGACCTTCAGCTAAGATTTCCAACTTAATTAGATGAAAGACTTGGTTTTATCCTCATGGATATTCGGCACTATTTCAAATGGAATCTGCTAAACTCATCCCCAATAGAAGAGAACTTATTTTCAATCATGAGTTAGATAACATCAGGAGGGCAATGAACCATCTCCCCATTATGCTGAATTAATTGGTCAATCTAATCAAGTAATTTTGTATATTAAGTCTAAACAGGAGAGAAGGGCTTGATGTAGGTAGAAACCATTTACGCCATCTTACTGCTGCAAAAAAGAAGTTCCCAAGTGTGGAATCTGTGCTTGATAAGGTCAAAAGAGAGACTTTCTGTGGTAAGCCTCCGCAACCTTTCCTAACAAATAGATGCGGGAGAGACAAGGCACTCCAACATCAAGTATAAAAGTAATTGTTTAAGAAAAAAGAGATCAGACCAAGAACCTAAGTCTTTGAAGTCTCTGAAGTCTTTGAAGCTATAACATGGAAGAACGAATGGGAATCAACAAGCTTCCAAACCATTTCTCCATTTCTCCCTTCTAAGTCATCCCATAATTGTTTCGCATCCATATAGATTGATTTTCTACATATGGTACTCAAACATGCAACTGGAACGAAAATCCCTGACTGATGTTTTCAATAAAAAACATATTTTAATTGCTAAAATTGAATAAGTCAACTTCAGCATGGGTATAACTTGCTTATAAATGGGCTTAACAATAGTCTCGATTTTGAGTTCCCTGAAGGAAATGTATCTTATAAGAAGAAGAATAAAAAGTCTATGGCACCTCCTTTGAAGCAAAAGAAAATAACATGACAACTGAATGAGGATCCTTCCTTTTCTTTACTCTAAGGAGGAGTCGCCTAATTTGAAGGACTATATTTAGGAGTCTTTATACATATCTAAATCTGTTTCCTGTTAGATCCATATGTACTTCTCCCTGCAAATGCTCTTGCAAAGGTAACTTCGACATTTATTTATGTGTATAGGTCCTCCAATTGAAACTTCATCACGCCATCTTAGCGAAATTTAGAGATCTTTGAGCTGCTACAGCCGACAGCTATTTTTCCATTCATGTAAGTACCAGCTCAGTTCCTAAATATGTCGATTGTTTACTTACCAAGTTTCAACAAGTATGTGTTACACCAATCATTAGGACTTAGAACCAGCAAATTTACCGGTTCAATTCCACATAAAAGGGCAACATATTTCTGGTAAGCAAGATAAAATGAGTTAAAATAAATCCGGAAGCACATAAGCAAACAGAAAAGACCTAAGCAAGCCAAACTTTTACTCCCACCATTCTGATTTAGCTACTTGTGCTTCAAGAGGTAAGCGATAACCGAGCAATGTTCGGACTGCAAGAGCCTCAGAAGTGCTTTGATCTGACAATCTCAGACACCTTGATCGAATGTCTCCAACTGCTGGACCACCTGCAATACAACCATCCACAAAAGCATGCCATAGTTCACTGGCTCTGAGGAACATGTGAAGTATAAACTGGAAGTTTTTTTTTATGCAAAAGGGTATTTCTTAGTTGTAAAGTAGGTTTCAGACAACTGTATCAGCATGCAACAAACATCAGATTAACTATTTAACTAACTTCCTGCTAGTTTGCAAAAAGTCAGCTGAGGATAGGTACTATTTTTTATAAAACAACCTTGCAGACCAAACTTATCAGTAGGTCAGGACTTCAGTATCACTTCAAGTGGAGATATTCCATCCTATGCTGGTCCCTCACACTCAATCAATTGATCATTTCGCCACAATTGAATAGTAGGCTATAAATTAAAGAAAAATGGAATAGGAAGAAATTTATGAAAATTAGTCCATTTTATAGGTTTATAGGTGTAAAAATATTTACCAAGAACACGAACAATCTCAGCAGTACTTCCTCCATCATCAGAGACAGGAAGAACATGGGCAACACAAGTAGTTAATTTCTTAAGCTCTTCTACAACTCCATTAAAGGCCGTCCCACCTGTACCAATACCAAGTACACATGAGAGCATGAGTTCAAGAGCCAAAGCATACTAATATAGCAAAGTGATGACTAAAAACTTTCAGCAGCCTTCACGCAAATGTATAATCAGAAGTTTAACTACTGATCAAATTAAAATTCATTACAATCGTTTCAGGAAAAATGTCCGACAACCACTAGAATTAAGTAACACCAAACCGGGGGGGGGGGGGGGGGTCCATGATGTTTTAATAGTCAAACTGTGTCTAAGCTTTCAGAAGATGCAAAAACTTCGTGAACAATCTAAGGAAAAGAATGTGTACCTATAAAAATTCCTCAATTTTTTGAAGCCATCAATTATTTCTAGCATATCATGACTTGTTTAGAATTTGTTTCGTCAAAGTCTCAAAGACTGCTTTGGTTTCTATACTTTCTTCTGCGTCTATAAAGTCTCAGCCATTCTTCTAGTTATTGTAGTTCAGTACCTAGAAACAAGCATGGAACTCGTGCACCCTAAATCCCAAAAGAAAATTCCCTTCGAGATTTCAGCAACACCCTTCAAATTATGCACTCAAAACAAATGGGAATTATGCACCCAAAACAAATGGGACCAACAATACTTTTGATCCTACTTCATAAACAGGCTGAAATCAAACTCCCAGTTACATAATATCACAAACAGAATTTTTCGTAAATTGGCCTAAGAACACCGACAACATTACAAGAAAAGCTGACGTTTCTTCCAAGTTGGTTGGGGAGAAAAAGCAAAATCAAGCCACATACCTGAAAAGACGAGAAGGGACGGCTGATTATTACGGGGAGACGAAGAACCTGAGGAGCAGTGGGAGTTTTGAGCGATGAAACGGGTGGAATTACTTGGTCCATTTGGGATGGAAGACATTAAAGAAGATGAAGAAGAAGAAGAGAAAAAGAGAGGTTTTTTGGCGGTGAAGGAGAAATTGCAGGGTGAAGGTAACGAGAGAGAGAATGAAGGGCAAGTCCAAGAAGTGTGGCTTGACAATTGAGAGAAAAGAGTTGTGGGTTTTGATGACGAAGGTCCCAAGCAACTGTCCGCCATATTCCCGCTATTCCATGAATCAATCGAATCAGCGGTTGAAGCAAATAGCAATCCTCGCTTTGTGTGTTTTTTGGAAGCTGACACACTATCAACGGCCACCTGCTACTATATATAGCTTTCCTTTTATTTTTTTTTATTTTTTTGGTTTTCCCTCAATGTGGTGCAGTTTGTTAAAGGAAAGGATTCCTTTAACAAGCATCTATTAGACAAATTATTAAAGGGTCTGTCTAACAGACACTTGTCAACATATATTTTTTGAAAAGATTAATTAGAAAAGTATATAAATATACTTCAGGTGATAGACTTTTAGAAATATTTTAAGATTAATTAGAAAAAAATATATAAACACAATGAATGATAATAATTATTAGTATGCAAAATTTATGTGTATTAATAAGTGCCCATCGGACACCGTTTAAAAAACCGTTTGTTAAATACCACTAATGTTGATTTATTACCCCAAAGTAGTAGTATAATATTCATCATCTTGATCTTCATAATTGAGGAATGTACTAACATGCAAAGAAATAGATGACATTTATGCTCATCATCTTGGTCTTAATTCATAATTTTTACTTACGCTATAATAGAAGACCAACCAAATAAATAGTTGACATTGTATAAAAGCATTTTTACTGCATAATGCATGATAAGTGTGAAATGATACATTCAAGGATCTAAGTAAAATGATATAGGATGATGTTTTGCTTAATGTTAATTATAGGATGATGACAAGCAGTTGAATGTTTGAATTATTTGTGGGGCTACATTGTGCTTGTGGCTTTTTCTTTATTTTTTGAGGAAGTAACTTCTTGTTTTCATGACTGAAATCCATATATCATGCACCATAATCTTTTGCAGAAATAAGCAAGTATTCGTGATTTTCAAAATTTTTATTTCTTGCATTGCATATGTATGACTTGGGAGTTCTACTATAGGCTAGTTTGATTGCATTGAGAAGAACCTGGAAGATACCACATGGGATTATACAAGCACCAAAAATACAGACACACTCAGAAAACAACTTTGTTTCAATATTATTTAGATTGCAAAATGCAAGTGGTGCTTTTCAGCCTGCCTATTCACAAATCATCTCGATGTCCCAAACTCGAAAAACAAAAGCCCTTAAATCGAGGCATTTACATTATTGTCTTCCAAATGAGATTCCGAGTTTCTGGTACTTGTTTGTTCCATGGAAGCTTAAACGATCACCCAGTCAGATTCACAAAGCTCCTCATCCAGTAACTCTGATTCTCCAGCAAGCAAGGCTTGTGATGGGAGTTTGTCCTCAGGTTGATCAGATTCTGCATTAAAACCCTTCGAGCCAGCTGCCCTCTCACATTCACAATGTTTCTCAAGTTCCATTGCCAAACAAGACTTGCATGCAGTTCTCTATAAGTAAACAAAGAAAGAAAAATACGTCAACAAAATTTACTAAGAACATTAGGCTAATTCAACCCTGCAGATATGAATTCAGGCTGCCCAAAAGAGAGGGGGGGGGGGGGAAGAAGCATGCATGCGCGCGCAAAGGATACGTAGACGAAGAACAAGACTTTGGTGTTGTAAAAGGTCAGCGAGGGGAATAAATGTGGAAAACAGACACTATAAGAAAGAAGTGTACATGATGAGCCTGGGGTTGCTCTGGACAATCAGATGTTAAATGATATTCGTTGCTGTCCAGCACAGTGGAGCTATCCTCAATCTTCAATTTGTTTGGCAGCTGCATAATACCCAGGTCACTAACATGCTTGCCCTTGGTCTCCTCTGCTGTGTGGCCATTTAGTCCCTCTGCTAATCAAATTGAAAGAAGAATACTCATCAAATGATGAGCACAACTATTTTTTCATCAACTCTTAATTTAAAAAGATAGAAACTGTAAACACGTTTTATGGTCAATTCACTCATCCCTAACTCAACCAACCAAAATAGTAGAGGAAATACCAATAGCTCAGGATTTCAAGCATGCAAGACGTTCAAATTAACTATTTTGAGAGGTAAAAGAAGTACTAAAAACTGCCCATTGTTTTACTACTAAACTGAAAGGTAGGTTACCAATCAATTTCTTCTCTACAAATGACAAATAAAAATTTGTAATGAATCCCAACACCAACTCCTCACTCCTCCCCAGGGCTGAAATTTCACAGTTCTGCAACTGTCAGCAGTCAGCAGAAATTCAACATAGGCCCTGAACAGATTTTTTCAAAATATTATATTTTTAATCTAATTAGGCAAAGGGCAAAAATTACTGTGGAAGGAAAACAAACATGTTAGGATTGCATAAGTAACTGATCCCAAACTTAAGCTAATTATTCTTTTATGTTTCAATTGTTATTCCTTCCATTTATCACTTAATTCCATATTGCAGAAAATAGATCACAAAAAAGAAACAGGAGAAGAGAAAAGAAAAGACAAAACTAAGAATTATGTGAAAAAGAACATCAGCCTATGAGACCCGTTAAGCAAGTACAGCCTAAGACTCAAACCAAGACACAAAAAATTAGCAACAAATAACTGCATAGCAATGTCTGGAACATCCAACATTTTCTGATGCAGATAAAAGAACAATGAAACTTAAGCAAACACGAAACAACAACAAATAGAAGACTACTTACCATTGATTAATTCTTTTGACAAGGTGCGACCAGAAGAAGACAATTCATTCTCCAGAAGTTGACGTGCGTTAGAGCCTGGAGAGACAATAGCATTAGGTAAAGGCTGGGCAGTTGATAATTTGGCTATGCCATCTTGAGGATCAAAGTCATTGGTTTCCCCTGCTTCTTTCTGAACACGAAATCCACCACCCCCATGACCTTCAAATTTGAGAATTTCAGATGAAAATTCTGTCTCCTTAACACGATTTTCCTCAAAGCTCATTTCCCTTCCATCATTGGCTTTTAAAGTAAATGACAAAGTAATATCTGCCTCTTCAACAGTTTCCATCAAAATTGGTTGGTTAGAAGAATTACAATCAGATGGTCCGTCTTTATGGCCTGCATTGGCTTCTTTATCCGGTAATCCACCGGCATGGACAACCCTTTTTGCATTTTCAGACGTAGTAGTTTTCTCTTGTAAGGAGTTTATTATACTCTCAGGGAGCACTTCTTCCATGAACTCTGAACAGAATTGTTTCACATTTGCCCCTGCTGTAAGCAACTGGTTTTCACCATATTCAAGATTCTGTCCGACAAAGCAATTAAACCACAAACAGTCAGGTGATTGAAGTTCACTGATCATTGAACCAGACTAACTGATCAGATCAAGCAAATAGGAGGTAGTGGACTATTAAACACAATTGAAGCAAAAACACAATTATAATATCTTGTAACAACAAAAAAAGGAAAAGGGGAAAAAAAATCTCATTGCTAGAATAAATCATGAAAAACTGTAGACAGCTCCATCCACAAAATGCTCATCCTGAGATGATAATGCACTCTTGAACAAATTGAAAAGCCATGGAATTCATCAATGTTATATTTCAAACTAGCCACAAAAAATTCAATCCCCACAACCACCATAAGTACTTGGGAAATAATAGCAAACATAAGAAAAAACCAAAACAGTTGTTTCAAAAGTAACAGGAATCAAGAATACAAGTCCAATACCTCCTTTACAATGTCATCGATCTCTGAATAGAAAGTTTCAAACTTTTCCCGTATGTTTCCAATCCAGGATAAACTTTTCACTCGAGTATCCATGACCAGTACATATGCTAGGCTTCAGCCAAATAACACCAAGACCAGAATGCCTTTACCTACAAAAATAACTTCAGAAACCTGCAAGGAAATTTCCACTTCTTAAGGACAAAAGTGAGAAGGCAATTTTATGCATAACCACTTCATATGCCAAAGTGTGTATACATCACTGTCCATCGTTTACTAATTACTCGAATGTTGAGTACATATTGCGAGATATCACTCGGTCATTCTATATATGTTAATAATTATAATATAGATACAAATTGGAAATGCAACCGAGGTAGCCTGACAAAACAAGAGAGTAAATAGATGCCTATGCATGTCCAGACACACAACAGCACAAAATACTGCTAGTGCCTCTGATCAATGCATAAACGCAAACAGAGTACACAAAGGTTCAGGAAGGATAGGCTTATGCGGTCATCAACTAGCACCTTATACTTGCTATTAAGGATCTAACCGCATCCCAGTAATGCTGACTGGGAAATTTAAGCAGGGACATATCAAGGTTAGATACGACAAATTAATGAAAGGACACTCATAAATAAGAATAGCTCCCCCTTCTGCTTCCACCAACCCAGACAGTAAACTTCTTAGCTGCCTTGGTTTCACAATCGAATGTCTAACAAAAACTATGTTCCTCTTTTTTTTTTTTGGTGCCAACATCTGGTTCAACATTTAACTATGATCAAAAGTCAGCAACCACAATCTTTAAATGAATTCAGCAAAGTCAATCAATTAAGCTCTAAATGTTACTAGATTATCAGCTTAAACAACTTCCAATTTGTCATTACCAAAGCAAAACATATCAGCCGCAAAAGTAATCCAAGAATAAAAAGAAAAAAGAGTTTATAACTAAAAAGACCATCAGATGAACCTTAAAAGAAGGAAAAGAAAAGAAAAAAACCCTTCTTTCTCCTTAAATTAAAGGTTTGATCACTTACAAGTTCGAATTTTTCGCCACCCCAGACGCTGAATTCTTCAGAAGATCGACAAATTAGCTTGAACCCAGATGAATTTAGCATCAAACACCTCCGGAAAAGTAGTTTCTTTTACCATGTACCGATTACAGGATGTAACTGGAAGAGCAGCAACGAAGGCAAAACCTAGTTCAGTTAGACAGTAGCAGTAGTGGCAAGTAGCAACAGAGAGAGAGAGAGTAAAAGAGTTGAGCAACTTTAATGGGTTTTCGGAATTTCCGAGGTGCTGTAATTAAGGAGCAATTTTTAGGAAGCCCCATCTCTGATTTGAAAGGATTTGATTAATCCGATTTTTCTTTCCTCATCCTTCTGGAAATTGAAAAACATATAAGCAAAAAGAAAGGGCTTCAAATCCTCCGTTCCCAAAATAATCTCAGCCCTCTGTCCCT